CCAGCCTCACCCCGGTCAGGACAGGTGAGACTTCCCAGCCTCACCATTCCTCGAGATGTACCTGGGGCACTGGGGACCCGAAGCTGGAGACAAGTTCTTGATGGAACCCTGTGCCTTTGGAGGGGGGTGATGGGAGTGCAGCCCTTCTGGGTGTGAGCTGAGTAAGGTGAGCCCAGGTGATTTCCAGGATCTTCTCTGCCTTCAAATTTCTGTAAACAGAAAGGTGGTGTGTGTGGTTCAGTTCTGACCAAGACACTCAAGGAAGACCCTGCCCAACACGTTCAATCTCTATGAGACTCATTTTCCTTATTTGTAAAGTGGAGATCATATGTGTTGAATGTGTGCGTCTACGCATCTGTACCCTTGGGGCACCGCAGAAGTTTTGAGACAGGCTGTGTTAGAGTCCTTTATCTCACTTCTATGAAACCATGTCCTTTCTGATTTACCCGTGCGAGTTTAACTTGCTTGGCTTATTGGCATTGTTGGAGGGGCATCGTTTATTTTCTTTGTACAATTTCTTTTGTTTTTTTTTTGGACAAAGTCTCACTCTGTTGCCCTGGGTAGAGTACAGTAGCATCATCATAGCTCAAGGTGACCTCAAACTCTTGGGCTCAAGAGATCTTCTTGCTCCTGCCTCAGTCTCCCAAGGAGCAAAGACTATGGCACCTACTACAATGCCTGACTTTTTTTCTTTTATTTTTGAGCTCAGGGGATCCACCTGCCTCATCCTCCCAGAGTGCTAGGATTACAGGCATGAACCGCTGCGCCTAGCTTGGAGGACATCATTTTGTTTCCATTCATGAGATTTTATGTTTTCTGATTTTATGCATCTGAAAACTTTCATAATAGCCCATGTACTTTCATGACGCATATGTGTGTGTATATATATGTCATGTCTGTGCATCAACATGTATCTGATCTGTCTGTGTGTACACGTGACTGTGGAGAATGAGTGTGTGTGCTCGTGTGGGTCTTGTAACAGTTGGGGAGTGAGCAGAAGGAGGGAGGGCCAGGAAGCTCGCCAGCATTTGTGAAGCGCCGAGAACAGCTGAACTCTGCTGCTTGCTCGCCCTTGGCTTTGAGGCTCCCATCATGGTGTCTGTGCTGTAAGGGAAGCACGTCACAGAGGGCAAAGAAGCAGGGCTCAACATATTTTGGACGATAAGCAGACTTTCCAAGACAGTGAGTGCCGGGAAGTGTTTTCTTGGCCAGAGGAAAGGGCATGTGTAACAGCATGTGAGATCTGTTGTAATCAGCACCCTGAGGGCTGTTCTCACCTGCTTTTCAAGTTGAAGATTGTTTCCTTAGGCTTCCTTGTCAGGAGATTGAGTGGCTGTATCATTTTGCAGGTTGGTTTTATATGGATGCCACCAGTACGTAAGAATGCACCTTTACCTCTGACTGCCCAAGTATTTGCTAAAATGCCTACTACTGTCATAAGGTCGCTGAAGTTCATGATTTATCATTCATCTCTCCCCGATTCCACACCAATTCTCTAATCATGTTTGTTCTTGTCTTCCTAGGCTTGTGGCTCATGCAGAAATTGAAGAAATCTGGGTCTCTGCTGCAGCTGACCTTCAGGGATAATGCTGATTTGCGCAAATGTTTCCTTTACCAACTAAGCCAAAAAACAGGTGGGTGGTTTCCTCCACCGCTGCGTTCATGAGTTTGAGCTTGAGATCTAACTCCTGAGACAGGGAGTAGCTGTCATGCTCTGTGGGTTCACTCACCCAGGGCATAGTCAGCAGGCTGCAATGCAAAGGCTTTTTAACTCCTCAGGAAGCCATTGGCTCCCACAGAGACCTGCAAGGTGGGGCACCTGAGAGGAGAACCCAGGTGTGTCGGGGTCATCTTGACACACACAGGCTGTAGCTCCCACTGCCCATCAAGCTTTTAAGGTTCTGACTGCGCAGGCCCTGATCTGTGTGTCCGCTTCACCTGGGTGCTGCTCCTATAAACAGGCAGATGCCACATTGGCCAGTGGCACAGACTGTGCAGTGAGATACAGGGGCCGTTCTCAGGAAGGCCTGACCTGGCACCTGCACCTGTAACAGGGACGTGCACTATGTGTGGAGAGCCTTCCTGTGTCATGGGAATGCCCATGGAAGGCAGCAGGGGTCTCAATCAGCCGTGGGGTCTCCATGGCCAGTGAGGGACTAGGGCTGCTGATGGAGGGGCCAGCTCCGTCCTGCCAGCAAGCCCGCCTGGCCAGGGTCTGCTCCTTGGTTCAGTCTTTCATCGTTCTACAAACACTGGCCCAGTTCATACCCCTGCACCTCCGTGTTGAAATGCCCTCCTGCCAAACTGTTACAGGGCTGCAGTATTTTAAGAATGTTGTGCTGGTTGCTTCCCCTCAAGACCGTTACGTGCCATTCCATTCCGCCAGGATCGAGATGTGTAAAACGGCCCTCAAAGACAGACACACAGGTAAGCTGCATTTAATTATTTCTTAGGGAAAAAATTGTTAAATGTGAATTTATAAAATGGACTTTGTTAGGGACTCGTGGGCTCTGGGTGGTAGTGCCGTCTTTATCTCAGATCCCAGTGATGGGGTGGGCGTGGCTCATCAGTGTGTGTGCATGTACCTCGACGTCAGTGTCCCAGATGCTGCTATGTGATAAGTAGTCATGTGCTTATTGGATTAGGAAACTATGGTTCTGTCCTGTTGTGTGCCAGACACTGAAGGAGATGGCTGGGATGTAGAGTTCTGTGAGATAGGCCCATCCTTCAAGGATACCTTGTCTAGGTGGGAATCGGGCAAGCATGAGCAATGGCAGTATAATGTGTTGAGCCGAAAGATAAAAGAATGTGCAATGCCTGGATGGAGCACAGAAGGGACGAGGGCAGAGGGCAGTTAGGCAGAGATCCATGGAGATGACACCTGAGTGGGGCTGTGTGGGCTAGACAGCCAGGATAGGGACATTTCTGGTCCCCTTTTATTAATTTATTGAATATCAGATATTTTTATTATTTTTCTATTTTAGGTTGATATGAGGGTACAAATGTTTAGGTTACCTTGTTTTTATTTCTAAGGTAAAGTTCAAGTTGTAGTTGAGTTTTTCACCCAGGAGGTGCGCTCTATACCCCCACATTGTGCCCCATTAGGGGAGAGCACAGCAGTCCCCCTTCCTCTGCCCCTCCCCCCCTTCCACTTGAATTTAATTGTGCTTTTCTCTTGTGTGGGCATATAGTTGTCCATCTACTGGTTTCGTGTTAGTATTGAGTACATTGGATTCTTGCTTTTCTGTTCTCGTGATATTTTATTAAGGAGAATGTTCTTCACTTCTATCCAGGTTAATACAAAAGATGTAAAGTCTCCATTCCTTTTATGGCTGAATGGTATTCTAAGGTATACATATATGTCAGCTTATTAATCCACTCATGTTTTGATGGGCAGTTGGGTTGATTCCAACCTTGGCTGTTGTGAACTGAACTGTGATGAACATTCTAATGCAAATGTCTTATGGTAAATAAATTTTTTTCTTCTAGGTAGATACATTGTAATTGGATTGCAGGATCAAATGGAAGGTCTAATTTTGGCTCTTTGAGGATTCTCCATACTTCTTTCCATCTGGGCTGTATAATGTATATTATGTATATAATATACATAATATAATGTATATTAGTTTGCCATCCCACCAGTAGTGTAAAAGTGTTCCCTTCTCTCCACATCCACGCCAGTATCTGAAGCTTTGGGACTTTGTGAGGTGGACTTCTCTCTGGGTTTAGGTGATATCTCAGGGTGCTTTTGATTTGCATTTCTCTGACTACCAGAGACGAGGACCACTTTTTCATGTGTTTGTTGGCTATTTGTTTGTCTTTAGAGAAGTTTCTGTTCATGTCTCTTGCCCACTTATAAATGGAATTGTTTGCTCTTTTCTTATCGATTAGTTTGAGCTCTCTGTAGATTCTGGTTATTAGCCCTTTGTCAAATTCATACCATGCAAATATCTTCTCCCATTCTGAAGGGTGTCTGTTTGCTGTAGGTGTTGTACCCTTCGCTGTGCAGAAGCTTTTTGATCATGTACCATGCATTTATTTTTAGTGTTGTCAAAGGGGTCTTCTTTGTAAAATCTTTTCCCAGGCCAATGTTGAGTTTTCCTCACACTTTCTTTTAAAATTTTTATCATTTTGTGTCTTAAATTTAAATCTCTTATCCAGAAAGAGTCAATTTTTGTTAGTGGTGAGAGGCGCAGGTCTAGTTTCAGTCTTCTATGTGTGGCTAACCAGTTCTTCCAGCACCATTTATTGAATAGGGATTCTTTCCCCCAGTGTATGGTTTTCCTTGGTTTATTGAAGATCATACGGTAATATGTTTCTGGATTCATCTCTAGGTTCTCTATTCTATTCCATAGATCTTCATCTTTAATTTGGTGCCACTGTAGACTTACAGTATAATCTGAAGTCTAGTAATGTAAAAAAAGAACTTTTGAAACCAATAGCGATTTCAGCAGAAAGAGATTTGGTTGTGTGGTCAAGTAATCACCACATGTTAATGACTTTTGTTTTTAATAAGCAATCTGCTGACTTTTATTGCATATGAAATTTAAACCAATTACCGAATTGATGTAACAAAAATATGCCTATTCCCATGTATTGGCAACATTCATGCATTCTTCTTCTTATTATATAGGATTCATATTCATCATTTAAAGGGTACATAATTATTTAGTCCATGATTATTTTAACCATTTCTTTGTTGTTGGATTTTGGCTGATTTTCATTTTCCCTCAGAAAAGAACATTTCATGCATAAAATTTTTATGGCATGACAACCTGTTAGCATATTATTAGCTATTGTAATGACTACTATTTAAAACATCAGTGGGCTCTTGGGAAGGCTCATACCCTTTATTTTAACCCCAAGGTCTTTTCAGTGGAATTGACATGGCTAAAAAGAAATTGTCACAACCAAATCCCTAATTATTTCAATTTTATGTTTCAACTTCCTTCAACTCAAAGCTCCTACCAGGATTCTGAAGAGGTAGAAAAAAAAAGGGAAAAAACAAAGGCTTCTGGCTTTGTGGGGAGTACAGCCACCCTTCTCAGCTTGGGAAAGCAGAGCTCCAAGGGGTCTCCCCTGCTGATGACTGGCGAGGTCAGGCAGACTGTCTGGGTCCATTCACATCCAGGGTGAGGCCACAGGAATGTTCAGCTCAGCGTAGGACTCGTCCCTCTCACCACAGGACCTGGGAGTACCATAGCAGCTTCATAAAACACATCTAGTTATGTGGACTGGGCTTATCTCATCACCTCTGATTACCGTCTCTCCAGTAAGTCAAAAGTAAAGCATCCTTTCAAGTTGTTACAAAGGGAAGCATCACAAGAATAGAAAAACAAGCATCCCATGCACTAAATGGAAGCCTGAGGGAGAAACTCAATTCAGCTTAAGTAGGAGCGAGGGGGTAAGGGGTTGAGTAAGTTCCCACCAGCAGGTGTAGTGCATGGTAGATGGCCCACCGCCTAGTGAAGGGCACAGCTGTGACTAAGACTGCAGCCTTTCCAAAGCAAATGATGTAACCTAATCATGTGTACCCTCATATTAATCTGAATATTTTTTTAAAAATAATAAACTATCCGCCAGATCATTACAGAAGGTGTCTCCATGTGATATAAAAATTGTCCTGAATAGTTTCACAAGAAGGACTAACAGTGGTCTGAGAGCTACAGATTGGTGACTGGATGTGCAAATGTGTTTATTGTTCAACAACTCAGTTTCACTGGGCGGCTTTAAGATCTCCACTTTTTGAGGCAAAATTGCAATTGGGTCATGTTCAGGTAAAAGAATGAGTCAATTCCAACACCTGATTGTGAAAATCAGCCAACAGAAAGGAAAGGAAATTGCATGTTCTTCCTCCTCCTGCCACCGAGCATGGGGGGAGCCGAGTGACGTGCGTGTGGCCTCTACAGTGTCTGCCCCAGGAAATGGCGGATCCACTTCTCTATTGAGATGTGTCTCCAGAAGTAAAACTTGCATCTCCAGGTCTTCCCTGGTACGCAAGGGCCTCCTTCTCTGATCCTGTAACAGGCCCAGTCCCACCCTCAGAAACACAAGGACCTCCTCAACCCTGTTCCGTGGTAGCTTCTAAGGTGCAGACCACAAAGCCACCGTGTGGAAGCCTCCTGTGGACCCACCACTATATCTGAGCAGACAAACAGAACTTGGATTTATTTCTTACTTATCTCACTGACATTAGGAGGAGGTTGGAAACTGGTCTATGCAGGTGTTCCCAGGAGCAGGATTCTGCCTCCCACCCACTGTCAGTCTCAGATCCCACTGCTAACTGCTGCACCAGCTTCACACCTCTCTTCCCTCCTTACAGGGCCAGTTTACGCGGAAATGATCAACAACCTGCTGGGCCCTCTGGTTGAAGCCAAGGACTGCACTTTAGTCCGACACAACGTGTTCCATGCCCTGCCCAACACTGCCAACACCCTGATCGGCCGTGCGGCCCACATCGCTGTGCTGGACTCTGAGCTCTTCCTAGAGAAGTTCTTCTTGGTGGCAGGACTCAACTACTTCAAGTAGCAGCTGTGAGGGAGCAGGCCTTGGTAACTCACCGGAGTGTTTATGATCAGTCCAGAGTGTTAGCTGAGACTTGCGTGTATAGACCTCACTACTCCAAGGTGGAGCTCCCTAGGATGGCAGTGAGGGGTGGAGGCTGGGTGGAACCCAACATTAGAGGTGCTTTTGGAGATTTGAGGAAGCCAAACAAAGAGTATAAATGCCAACAGACTCTGCTTGGATTTGTGTAGCCATCTGGAGTCTTGTTCAATATGCTTTCTAGGAAAAATATGAGGGTAAAAAAGTCCAGAATGTGTGTACTTGGAGTGGGTGAGCCCACCTTCTAAACCACCACTGGGTCACTGAAGGCTGCTCCAAGTATGATTGTCCAGTATGTCACTAGCTCATAGCTTTATCATTTTGATTAAATTAAGTGCACACAAGCATTCAGAACTCAGGTTAACCTCTGTGCAAAATTGGGACATAATTGTGTAAATAGAATCCTTAATAGATTCAAATTCACCACTTGTTGAGGACAGTGTGATGCCCATGTTCATATTCTCTCTTTCTGTTTTCAAAACAAGAGACAAAGGAATGCATTACAAACCCCAGCTCTGTTCCCTAACAGCAGCAAGTGGGGTGACTTACGGTAAGGAGGGATAAAGTGATGCTATAGGTAAGTACAGGTTGGTTACAAACACATCTCTAGGGAACACACAGTGGCTCCACCCACTTCCCCAGACTTTTTCTATGCATTTCTCTGCTCCATACTTTCTTTCTGTGATTTCTTCCATCTCTGTCTTTGGTGGGGAAAATTGAGTGAGACTGAACCTGGCAGAAGGGGTCACTGAAATTAATGCACGTTGTATGTGTATGAGGCTCCTGCTGGCACATCCAAAGAAATGCTATGTTAGCATTTGATGCAATTGCAAAAAAAAAAAAAATTAAAACCCTTAACAAGGCCAGCTGCTTCTCCTCTCCATGGAAGGAGAGAGTCATCTAGAGAGAGGGGAGCTGGGTTCAACCTCAGGGGAGCTCTAAGAAGGGTGCTGGTATTCTTTCAATAGAAATGTCTTCTTGCCTTAGGAAAATAAAGGGCTAGGGAAGGTCATCATTCATAACAACCAATAGCGAACAGGGACAAAAGTGAGGTCAGAGTGAAGAACAGCAGCCAGCCCGAAGATTCAAACTGTTACTGGTGAGTTAAGGGGAAGTTTCGAAAATGGCCAGGATGTTTACTACACTCTATGGGCTTAAGGAAGCCTAAAGAATCATTTAGCTGCACGGCGGAATGCGTGAGCCTGGGCCACAGGGATGAATAACAGGGAGGTGCGTCTGCTGGAGATGACAGTTCCTTCTTCTGCACAATAGTTATACAAATTTCATATAGGTGAGGGACTTTTTTAATCTTAAGTTTACAGTTGAACAATCTGCATCCCACAAGGTTGGGATGAGTTAGTCAAAACTACAGTCCTTCAAAAGTGCAGAAACTCATCTGGAAGCAGGTTCCCTGTCCAGCATCTGGACTGTGACTCTAGGTCACTGATGCCATGGTAACAAAGCCACGCGAATCTGGGCTCATGAGAATTTTAGATTCTTGCATGTGACTTGGCGAAACAAAGGCAGAACATGAGACAGGCAATTTATCAGATTACACGTGTGGATTAAAAAAAAAAACAAGTTTAGGGGAGAAAGGCGTGGGGAATCTGCAAGGGCAGACGTCCCCACAGTGGATTTAGGGTTTCTTCCTGGGTCTTTTCTGAAAGCTCGTTACATCCTGGTCTTAACACACATGGGGTCTCTAAGTCCTCGAGTCAGTGCTGGGCATGTACCCTGGCTATCATCAAAGTGCCACATGCATGCTGTGACCTGGGGACATGTGTTTCCTAGTCAGGTATCCCACAGTGCTGTGTTTTCTGGCCTGGACAAATCCCCACACTCAGCTGGGATCACAGCTTCCCCTTTCTGGACAAGTGACAGGCCCTGTCCGCTGATGGCACATTTCATGCTGTGTTTCCAATTCCCATCAACGTTTGTCATTCCCGGTCATCTGAAAGACCATGTAGCCAGCGGTTATGGAGCAGGATGGGTCTGACGATCATCATCTTTTCCAATAACCTGATGCCATTTTTAACTTCAATATGCCGTCTGGACATAGTGAGAACCCATGGCAATAAATGTCCAGCTGCGTGGTGCACCTCTTTTATACAGGGGTGTTGTGCTGTCTTTGTAAACGCTCTCTGGCCTCTGAGCATCTGTAATTGTGTAGAAAGTACATCTCTCTGTTGTAAATAAGGGTGTCAAGTGTCGTGTTCTCATGCCTCATTTGAAAAGGCTTTTTTATGTCTCTTTCTATTGAAGTATAGATATTTAATATATATATATACACACACATAAATATATAAATATATATATATAAAATGTAAAGCAGTAACATTCTATCATTGATTATAAAAATTATAGACAAAATGCCCGCCGAGATACTGGCCTAGTATGTTTTCATTCTCTGTCTAGTTTTAGGTTTTTTGTTTGTTTGTTTGTTTGTTTTAGTTTGTTTTTATGATTTCAGTCTCCCAAAATAGACATAAAAATTTCTAATATTGAAATTAACTGGGAATTTTGTTGTTTATGAGCCAAATAACATCCAGAGCATATTTGGACGTAAAGTCATCTTGGGGCACAATAAATACCTCCATGGCAGATCAAAAGCAGATGGAGAGCTATAAGCCTGGGGAAAGGGCAGAAAGAAGCACCTGCTGGTTTCTGCAGCTCACTGGTGTTTACTGAGCCCCTCATCCTGTGCCACATGGGAGCTCAGAGATGCAGCTCACAGTCTGCGTGCTCCAGGACCCCAAGGAAGATCGGCCCTGTGGTTGTGATGGGATCTGGGAGGACTCATGTGGAGGCACGGGCAGGTGCACGCTGGGCCTGGATGTCCTCTCCCTACTGCCTGGGGAAGGCCAGGAAGGGAGCCTTGAGAGGGAGACTTGAACGCTGAGACTTTTTGCTTTGCACAGCCAGTCACCACTATGACGCCCTTCCATTATTTCATTCATCCGTTCACTCCTGTCTGAAGTTGCCTTTGAGAGGGGCACATCCCTGTGTCTGTTGAACTTCTCATGAGAGAAGCTGGAACAAATGGCACCACAAACAGGTGGAGAGGAGGGAACCATGATTTGGTTTACATTCTTCTTTTTATGCATGGAAGCCATCAAGTGAAATGTCTTTATTGGTATGCAATGTGACCACACTGACATCTTTAGAGTATACAAATTTCCTACAGGGAAGGAACTTTCATAATTCTAAATTTATAGTCGAACAATTTGCAGCCCCACAAGATTGGGATGACTTAGTCAAAACTACAGTCCTTTATTCAGCTGCAAATATTTCCTGCCAGATCACCATAAATCAGGTGTTGGATATACAAGGAAAAGTAAAAATAATGTAAAATAAAAAGTCAGTTCTATTCTGAGGGAGTGTGTGTGCACAAGGGGAAGGTGGGCAGAGACCAGGTAGTCACAGGCATGCTGAGTGTGTCCGAGGCCAGGCTCAGGAAGAGCTCCCAGAGGGACAGTCAGGAGCTCACTCATGTAGCGTATGACCAGCAGAAGGTAACTAGACATAATATGTGACCCGTTTGCTTTTTTTCCTGCAAGGAAGAAACTACATTTAAAAGCGCTAGGACCTGGCAGAGGGTGTAGTTAGCCCTCACTCGTGGAAGACAGTGGCATATCTTTCTAAGCAGGTCGCTACTGAATTGAAAGCCTGAATTGAGGCATTTACAAGCCCCTAAATGTAATTGCACCCCCGCCCCCAAGCAGTTCGCTTTGGTTTCAAAGCAAACATTTCTGAGCACTGGCGATGAGCAAGACTGCTGGGTCTCAGCTGTGCACATGGTGTGAGAAGAGGTGTGGGCCTGGGGACGAATGCACGGAAGTCCAGTGATGCTTTCTTACGCTCTCCTGGAAGGTGTCCGCCTCAAGGATGTCCACGTCAGTGCCCTTCGTGAGGGTGGCTGTCGTTCTCCAGGGGACAGAGCCGAGCAGGGAGTGCTGGCACCTGGGTCGTATTTTGCTCATTTGTTTGTTCACTCGTTGTTTCTGTGTTTTACTGAACGTCTGTTTCCTGCTGGATTCCGTGTTGACCTATAGAGATTGGTGTAAGTCACACAGTCCTAAACTCTGAAAGGATCTGGGAGAAATAATAAAACTTGGGGTTTTCACTTTAACTGTTAGTATTTGATGTAAAATCACGAGATGGCAGAAGAGGAAAGCTGGACTGTCCCGTCCCCACTCATCTGATGTTTAGCAGCCTGAGCTGCGTTTGACAAGCGGGAGTCATTGTGGTGACATCAGACAATGGCACCTGTGTGTGTGCTCATTTATTTCTGTTGGAATATAGAGCTGCCACCATGAAAACTTTGAAAACGTTTGAGATGTCTTTTCCAGTCTGTCTGTGCCCCCTTCTCCTTTGTTTATTTATTTTACTTTTTTCTTTACTCCTTTTTAATTTTATTTTCCATGGCACCTGGGAACTGTGTGGATTGCAGTGATGTCTAAACAGAAATCACAGGGGCAGCCTGGAAAAGTGACCTCTCCCTGTGCTTCTGCCTCTCCGTGTTGAATGGGGATAACGCGCTTTTCAGTGTGCAAAACTCTGTACGTCACTTTTTAATGTGGGGGAAAACGATCCCAGTGACTTCTGTCACACAAAGACAAGCCCTCCATGTGTAAAACTATGCTTCTAGGCCCAGTGTAAATGTATGGATGTTTCTGGATGATGCTTTGTTCTCTATTAAACTAGATTATTTCCCTACTCTTGACCTCCTCTTTATTGCCAAATTATGAAGAGAGTGTGTGTCTTTGTGTCAAAGATACGCTTGTGATTCTGTGGTTTTGAAAACATTGTCATCTAGTCCAAAACTTCATCACAGAAACTTTAGAGATAGACCAATCTAGACTCTCGCATATCTAATTTTTAGCAAATGAAGGAGCAAAGGGATGGAAATAACCTGTAAAGTGCTC